AAGAAGAACTACTGTGAGCCTCTGGAAGACTTTTGATTTCTCTTCAAATAGCAAGACTCCAGTGCCACTACAGGAAGCATGGAAATCTGACCTGCTCTTCATATTTGGGCTAATAGTGAAGAACAATGGTCATTAACTCTATGGTCATTAATTCTAACTGTGTTTTGATGGATTTTTATTTCTTCAACTCAGCCAGTTGAGCCACAGTACCCCAAGATAGTTAGAGAGCACAGAATCTCCAGTAGATAGGATCTACAGCCCCTTCCAAACTGAAGAAGCTACAGAAGACAGAGACTTCTACTCCCTCAGCACCTCATAAAGAATTATGGGGATTTATACCTCTCAAGAGGAAATGACATAGGAGATTAGGGTGTGGCAAAGCTGGCTGGGGAAGTAGATGTGACCTATCACTTACAAGATTTCAGAACACATTTACAGGACAGTTCCCAAATCCCTGCACATAGACTTCATGTGAGAACTCAAGCAAGTTTTCAAGGCAGGCCACCGAACCACTGAGCTAAAGCCCCAGCTCAAGCAAGTTTTCAATAGGACGGCCTGATGTCAGTCGGAGGAGTAGGATCCCAGCATGACCTCTCAGGACCTGTTTGTAGACATTCTTGTGGTATTCCTTGAGATATAAAAGGACACAGACAACAAAAAGAGTTTGCTATTGTGGCTTTCCTCACTATAGCCTGGTCTGTATCCTCCAGGGTGTACTCTTATCTTGTTTTCTCCCCTATACTTGGCCCAAGCTTATTCTTCATAGCCACTTTCTCCCTCACTGTTCACTTTACTTTTGCAAATAAACTTTTCCACTGCTTTTTGCTTGTTTTGTTCAAGATTTAAAGAACCTGGGAATCTAACTCCAAAAGGACAGGCGAGTGACCCTAAACCTATTATAAACAGCTAAGTTAGATAGAAATATAATAGGCAGTCAGCTGAGCCGTTGAGAGAGTTGGGAAAAAAGGTAAAAACACACTACAACTGTGGAGAAGACACATCAGCTGGAGGCCAGGCCTCACGACAAAAGTACCAGGGTTACACAGTTCCCCAGAGGATAAGTGATAACACCTGGTCTAGTAAAGTCTAAATAGGCATCAATCACCTCAGTGGGTGACCAAGACCTCCAGATCCATCACCTACCAAGTTCTTTATTTTTTCCATGTACTCTTGCTATGTGACTTGCTTCCTCATTGGATCACTATTACCTCAGTGACTATACTTGTAATCTCATTGGTTGATCATAGCTGTAACCTATGTGACACCTACATGGATTTTGCTTTGTAAAACTTCCCTGTAAAGTGGGTTCCCCGGCTACCTATTCAGGTCCTCTCCTGCCTCTCAGGAGCTATCTTTGTGATAAATATTTTCCTATTCTTTTTAAAAAATTTTTTTGATACAAGGGATTGAACTCAGGATAGTATGCTTGAGAGGCAGTTGTGGTGCCACTGAGCTAAACTGCCAGCATTATTTTCCTGCTCTTAACCTCTGTTGTTCCTAGAATTCACTCTACAGTTTTTAGAGAACACAGGCTCTGCGTATCAGACATCTAATAGGGTGGGAAATACATTATTTCCTATTTTATCTCTGGTATCAACCCCAGTAACATTTATTTAGTGAGCCGCTTTTAGAAGGAGCTACCCACTAACAGTGGGAAGTGAAGTCCTGCTGACAGTGGCCAAGAGCTGAGCCTTGAAAATGAATAAGACTGTGGAGGAATCCTTTCCCGATGTGCAAAGGAAATGTGATGGCCCATCATGTGAGGGAGCCGGGGGTTTAGGGAGCTGGTGGGCTGTGTTTGGCCTGGGCACCACTGGCTGGTACAATTCTGGTGGTCAAAGGCAGCAGACCTCATACACATAGGGCCTCAGTGCTCATGCTGAAGGCATTCAGAAGCTTCCTTCAAAAAGATGGTGTGGTGTTGCTTCCAGAATCACCTCTACACACTGCAGCTCCCTCACTGAGCCTGCAAGCCCTTCACCCCCATAATGCCCCTTCCAAGCAGCCTCTTATACTTTTCTGACAATAGTTCTCTGGGAGCAAATAAAAACATAGGAAAGCTGGTTCTAGAGATGCACCCTTAAATGACTTCGGTGCTCCTGCCCATCACCAGCCTCATCAACAGAGAACCTATAGGACGGGCCTGTATTCAGATTCATTCCCCAGTCCCACAGATATTGGGGCTTCCTGTACATTAATATGTGTGAAGAACTTACATCTATTTCTCAATCTCAGGTTACTTTAAAACCACCTCTATTACTCATCCTTCATAGCCCATTGGTTTCCTGTACAGTTAATTCTTTCCTCTCCCTTCTCCTTTTCCTTTCTTCCTCTTCTCGTCTCTCTCTCCTTCTCCAGCTTCTCTGAGTCTTTTTTTTATTTCTCCCCTCAAATCCACTCCTTGCATTTGAAGGTGACACTCCTGGCAGGAGGGAGCCTTGTGTATGCTCTTCTGCAGCTGCACAGTCCTGTGTGCGGTCCTCAAGCCCCTCCCCATTCTGTGCCCTGGATGGTGCTTGGTGCTGTGTTTCTGACCTTGCCAATTGTTGCACCTGTCCTGTGAAAACTCTTCTTCCTGGACTCAGCGTTGACCTTGAACTCTTGATCCAAAAGCGCCATCCATCCATCACAGCATCTTTAGGCTGAGGCTGTCTTCTGCTGTTTCCTGTTTACACAGAAACAAACGCAGTGATTTCTTGGAGTCCAGGTGAGACTATACCTGGCAGGGCATGCCATGTTGATGGAGAAACAACTCCTCAAGAGGGCTGGGCATGGTGGTGTATGCCTGTCATACCACCACTCTGGAGGCTGAGGCAGGAAGATTCTGCATGAGTTGGAGGCCAGCCTGTGCTACATAGTGAGCCAGCCTGAACTACAGAGTGACACTCTGTCTCAGAAGACCAAACACCAAACCAAAACAAAGTAAAACACCTCAAAAAGGTCAAAGGGAAATCTCAAAATCAATCAGGGAAACTGTAGCCACACAACCCGGAAAAAAGAATGTAGGGTATTGGGAAACTTGTAAATGTGGTTCTTACCCAGAGAATAGGAAATCCTTCACTTCTGCATAACAAGAAAGATATCATCAGCATTCACGGCAATTTCCCTAAGAGCTACGGGAAGGTAGGATTATAAAAGCTAAAATTTACTCCATCACCACTACAAAATGATTCAGAAAAAGATTTGGAAATCAAACAGGCATGTATAATTTTTATCACTCACTGATTTAAGAAATAATAATGAAGAATAAGCTACACGCTATGGATTAATAAGTGCTGATCAGATTGAATATGTAAGTAAATTTGGATTTAAATTATATATCAAGGAAATCTACCAAGGGCAATTATGAGTTCTTTGGAAGGCTTTAAAAGAGGAGCGATTAAACTTGGTCTAAGTGGAGAGGTTGTTCAAAACAAGAAGGGTAAAGAATTATGAAAGTTAATTTTCTTTGCCCTTTCAGCTGCTGTTCTATGAAGCAGTGCTTGCAGGTGTCAATTCAGCAAATCGTGGTTCCGCCACACCTGACCTGCTGAGGGATCAGATTGTTGCCTGGTGTGGCGAGAATGACAGTAGCCTTTGTTCTAAAGGAGGGGCATGAAGTACAATGGACTTTGGCCTTCAATTAACACCACAATCCCCATGATCCACTGAACTCCAAACACACCCCCCGGATTAGCAAACCTATTTTTCTGAGTGTCCGGTTTTCAAAGACAATGCTGTAGAGAAAAGCCTGGGAAGTTGACACAATACAGAATAGTACAGTGGGAGGGCAGCGAAGAGGAAAAAAAAACCGGGGGTCTTATATATTTTCTTAACGATTGTTTCCAAAAGATAAGGTTGTTTATGCAACTTTGCAGCTTCTAACACTGAGAGAGGGAAAACTGTGAAACCAGAATGTGAAGAATTATGGTCTGCAAATAAACACTGCAAACAATTCACTGTAACCAGTGGGGTGGGAAGGCTGGCTGGGAAGAGACAGACTACTAATGTGCATAAAGTAATAAGTTTTGGAGCATTACTTATCTAGGACTGGACGTCTGGCTTCATTTTGTTTGTGTGGAGTGATTATTTGCAGTCTACATTCAGAGAAACAGTTTACCCAATGATGCCCAGGACTCTTAAGAGAGCGATCTCTTGACTGGCTTCCCAGGGCCTGCTTACCAGATGGTTCTCCTATTGGCCTCACGCTGATATCTGTGTCACAGACCTTTATGGTCTAGAATTGGCTTTGGGAAGCATAGGGGCCAGTTAGAGAATATAAAAGGGGTCATTAGTGCAACCCCCAGCTACTACCGGGAAATGATCAAAAAGTGTAAATCTGCACATCAGAAGTTGGAAGATTTTTTTTTCTTTTTCTGAAAGTAGTCTGGAGAAATTTGTTCATTTAGAGCGAAGGATATTCTTTTTCTCTATGAAGGAAAATCAGTGCCCCCTCCTGGATGCTCTTTGTTCTGAGCACTGCCGACCATGCCCTGGCATCTCTGTCGGGTGAGGCCAGCTCCAGAGGAAGCCTTTGCTTTGTTCATTTTTGTGGCTGCAGAGACTTTGATGAAAGGTTCTTTGACCTAAGGATCAGTTTTTTCATTCATAATTAATGTCCAGGAGGTGAGTGGAGCTGGAGGAGCTCCAAGGGCACTAGCAACCTTATCAGGCTCGTGTGTTTTCCTGAGAAATTTATCTTGGGCCAGAAGGACTCTGCAGCAGCATGTAGGAATGGGGTGAGGCTTAAACCTATGTTCAAGCTTGGGTTGAATATTTCCTAGCAGAGGGCAAGGCCAGGCTTTGCTGCGTCAGCTCTGCCTTAAGAGAAGAGCTGAAGGGTTAATACTGTATGATTTCTTAGATGGTGTGAGTGTCTGAATGTTCACATGACTGGCCATGACACTGAGTAAAACTCAAAGTGGGCAACGATATTTCAGGTTATTAAGATTTAAATATCGCCCAAATGCTTATGTGTGAATTTTATTTTTAAGTTATGACTTCCTTTCTGTATATTGCAGAAAACGCATACAATGAAGGAGGGATAGTTGGTGTCACTCTACACCAGGTGCTTCCTAGATTTCTGCGTAGATTGTTGAGTAAACAGAAGTATGATAGATGTCACTAAGAAGTCACACAGCATCCACAGATAAAGCACGGGGCATGTGCCACCCTTCTCCACTTCTTTGGTGCTGGAGACTCCAGACCTGTGTGGTGAGTTTATTTATGCAGCATTTGCTTTTGGAAGAGGAACTAAAATTGAAGATGAGAAAATGACATTTTGAAAATGCATATGGAGTTCACAGAGAGATACAAAACAATCTGTTTTTTTTAATTTCCTAAGAAATCATCACTAGGATTATGTTATTTCAGACTTCTTGATGATCTGTACATACCTGTTGTAAAATGGAGGAATTGCAGCAGCACCATTATTGCTTTTCTGATTGCTTGTTTAAAAGGTATTATACACAAAAATACCCAAATCTGCACCCATTTCTACACCAGGAAGAAATTGTTTGGCATTAGCTTCTTCTCAGTAATGGTTTTTCACAAAATGTTATTTAAAGACATATTTCTTTAGGTATTATTTGCTTAAAAGAGCTTAAGTTATGATCTTAAATAAATCAACCTTTCTCTTCTTGCTCTCTCCGCTCCCGTTTCCATTTGGCTTAAATGAGTAATGCTTTGACCACTGAGCTCTTTCAGAGAGATAGGTCTAAAGGACAAATTGAAGCAGAAGATTTTAGCTAGCAATTTCCAAATAGCACATAATTTCCGTTTTTTTTTTTTAATCGTCTTTGTCAGAGGAGGAGAGCAGGATGTGGAGAGTAAAGACATGACATGACAGGCAGAAAACACTGCGTCATAACACTAAGTTTCAAAGGAAGAGATTTTTAGAAAATGGTCAGATATTTATTGTTTAATTTTAAATTTTTGTTTGATACCATCAACTTCTTGATGCTTGAAGTTGCTCAAAATATTCCAGCGTGAGCCCACGAAATTGACTTCAGAGGTCACATTTTCCTAACACATTGGAGGTTAAAAAGTTGTTGTATAGGGTAGAAGAATGGCAGTAGTAGGGCCCCGCTATAGAAATATTGTCTGAGAACAAAAATTTAAACTTACATTCTGGAAAAAAAAAAGTGGAAGCAGTTCAGGCCTCTCTAACTTCCGAGACACGCCGACAATGAAAAGGCCGCAAAGTATAAACAGCTGTGACAAGTGCATTGTTGTCCCAGCTCCCAGCACTTTGATCTCTGTTTCCACACACTACGTTTAAACAACATGCTTGCCCCAGGAGGGGCCATGCACAGGGATTCACCTGTATTGGCACGTGGGTGCAGTAGACAAAGTTTTGAATCCTGTTATGTTGTATACCAGATGTAAGATCCTGTGTTTCTGTTTTCAAATAGGAGGTAATGCCATAAGGTTGTCAGGATTAAAATGAAAGTGACAGAACAGGCCTGTCACATAGTAGCAACTCACCAAATGTTGGCTTTGTATGCTTAAACTTCTTTGAAATAAGGCACCTCCCACACCCCATGAAGTCCTCACAGGACTGTACTCTTTGAACTCTCTCCCCAGACCATCTGCCACTTCTGCTTCTGCTTCGTGCAGCTGGCATTGCTGAGGAGGGGTTCCACTGAGTGACTTAGCCAGGTATGAAGGTAGACTGAAGGTCCCATAAAACTCTTGGGACCTTCACTTCCAAAACAAGTTTCCCTTCACTTTTCTTCATTATAACCACGATTTCTGCTCAGTGTAACCTAATTTCACCTGTAAAACGAATTCTCAGGAATAGGTCTTTCCCCTGAGGTCTGACCATGTCTTATTTGTCAGAATGGCTCAGAGTTGTCACATCCTTCCTTTTTCTCCCTCCTCAAAGTTTGCTTTCAGACAACAGTGTGATTTAGACTTATAAAGGAGGAATAAGTCTCAAGAAACCTAAGCGTAAATCTAAGAACAATCTAATGATCTCAGTGCTCAGGTTTTAAGAGGAAATGACTTTGTTTCATTAGGGACCAGTCAATGCTAGGTCAATAAAATAATTTTTTGCATTATCCAAGGACCTAGCCAACTTAATGCGTAATCATTGATAAAGAACAATGGAAATTTTTCAAAGTTTGTTTTTATTTTGTATTGGAGATCGAACTCGGGTCCTTGCACTTGCAAGGTAGGTGGCAGAACCACTGAGCTAAATCCCTGGCATGAGAACAATGGAAATTTTTGAAAAGAAACCAGGAGCATCGTTTCAGACTATGCTAGGGAAATGGAGGAGTCTATATATCCTTTGCATTTATGTCCTACATAACATATGCAGAGCACCTGCTCTTTAACGAGGCACTTTCAACTGGACAACAGGCAGGAGGCTAGAAAGATCTCACAGCATTTTGTAAAGTGGAGTGTGGAATGCAAGGTTTTCCTTTCCCAAATGTATGTATCCCATGCCAAACCCAAGGATCAAAAGAGTAAATGGTGAGAAGGGAGAGGCATTTGATCATCAGATGGTTAAATGTGGTGTGATAGTGTTCTATTAGAAGTTTGAAGCGTTCGACACATGTTCACTTCAGTTCCCACACACCAAACTAGAGACACATGGAACATGGCGATGGGAAACATCTGTGCACGTCACTCACCGTGCTGGTTAATTGTCTGTTGGCTCTAACTCCACTCCCACTCTTCTGTTCTTCTCTGTAGCGCTCTACAGAGCCTGAGAACTGCATTTCCCAAACTCCCTAACTGACTGACTTCCAATTAGGCTCTACTAATGGGAGACACTGGCGGAAGTCTCGAAGGAAGGTAGAAGGGAAATGCCCGTTTTATTTCTTCATCCGTTGAAGTTTTTGGCAGTGGTAACCATAGCAGCCACAGCTGCAGGAGTGGTGGTGAGTGAAGGTGAGCTCTGATCAGATGGAAAATCTTCAGTTGTGGAGGCCAGGGATGCTGCTACAGCTGCTTCTGCACAACATTCCCTGGTTCTAGATCTGGCAGCATTAGTGACAGGAAACCGCTGGTAGGAGATTAGCTTCTTGCTTCCTGAAAGTTTCCAACACAGCAAAGGGGCAGCAAGAGAGCAATCATGGATCCTGGATAATATCAGTGTTTCTTTTGTTCAGTCAGCCTTAGGATGGTAGTAATTTCCTGCAGTTACTAATCTCTAAAACTGTCCTCCCTTTTTTTGCCTCCAGGCTTTCAACACATTTGTAGCCAATTTCTTATGTTCTCTTCCCTTTACTAAAATTCCAGGAGTAGTTTCAGTGTTGCTGACTGGATACTTGCCAATGCATGTATAATATAAACTAGGCACAAAAAGTGAAGGCAAATCAAATTAAGATGTGAAAATATTTAATCCCATACCCCATTTGTGTTTAGGGATTTATAGAAAAGAAAGCTCAAGCAACTGTTCGCCCGAAAAGATCTACAAAAAGCCCAGCTCCCTGTCATGTACCCTGTAGCATCTCCCAAGCAGAAGAGGTTAACACAACAAGCATTCTAGACAAGAAAGAGGTTTTCTTTTGAGAGACTATTGCTCATAACCTTAATTTTTTTTGGAGGGGGGTACCAGCGATTGCTTAGGATCTAGGGATTGTGAGGCAGGTGGTGGAATCCCTGGCCCCATAACGTTAATTTTTAATGGCATTGGTAAAAAGTACCTTTCACCAAGTATCTTTCATATGTTAGGCATTTAAAGTGTTATTTAATTTAATTGTTATAATAACCCTAGAAATAAGGCATTATTTTCATATATATATATGAAGAAAACAAAAGATCTGTAATAGCATTGCACGTTGCTTAGTGGTGTCATGGAGCAAAATTTCAACAAATTGAGTTTTAAAGATCTAGGTACTTTTTATTAGTGACTCATGAATCTGGGAACATCTATTCTGCAAAACAGACAGGGGAACCTTCAGGGTTTGCCTAACAGTGGGGTTTTTAAGGAAATTTGAGCAGGAGGGAGGAAACTGCATTGTTTCAAAGCAGACTGATTAACATCAGGTTACTTTCCTTGTATGGGTGAAAGCAGAGGGAACTTTCTTGTGCCAGCTTGGATTAACTGGGTCCCTTTTGATTAGTTGCTGTGATCCTATCTCTCTCTCTCTCTCTCTCTCTCTCTCTCTCTCTCTCTCAATGGGCCTATTTGAGGATTTTTCTATTTTTTTTTTAAGTTTTTCAGTTTCATTTTGTGACATTTAACCCAATAACTCCAGTTTGGTTTGGTCTGTGGGGGTTTACTGTAGGAGCACAATTTGAAATAATGAACTCTTCTCAGTTTTATTTAATGATGGCTACACATTCCTCTTTTTAGGCTGCATACTTTTTGTAGTGAAACTTAGCCATGCCCTGGTCCAGCGGTGCAGTCACGCTCTGGAATTTAAGATCACCCATGATTTACTCTGGCCTGTAGAATGTGCAGAAGAGACGTGTGATCCGTAGGCCACACCTAAGGGATCTGGCAGGCTCTGTCTTCATCCACGTGGAACACTGTCCTGTAATGTCCCAGAGTGCAGCAGGCCTAGCCTACAGGAGGACAAGAGGCTGTGTGGAGAAGCCACAAGATGCCTCACATAGCAGCCAGAACCAACTGTCAGGGATGTGAGTGTGGCTTTCTCTGACCTTCTGTACAACTGGCTTTCAATGAACACAACTGCATAAGCAGGCAAGGCAAAACTAGAAGGGAAAACCACCAGGCTGACCTGCAGAATTATGCAAAATAATAAATCATCATCTCAAGCCACCAAAGCTTCTGTACAGCAATAGACAGGGCTGGTAAAAATACAGTATGCATTTAAATTTTAAAAGTTTGTTACAGTAAAAAACATATTGCCATTAATCCCCCTCAAAATACTCCTCACTTATACCATCATTTTTGACACTTTCTGAAGCAGTTCTGGAAATTCTCTTTTGCGTCTTTATGAGGTATAATTAAAAATACAATGAATGCTGTTGCCAACTGCCATACAATAAAAGGTAGGCTCCTAAAAACATTATGATATGTCCACATTCACCGTATTCACCTGATCTGGCACTGTGTGACTTCTGGCCCTTCCTCAAAGTCAAAAGGACCTGGACAAGTAAACATTTAAAATCATTTCAGGACAATAAGGTAGCCATGACAAATACACTAAAGACACTCATGAGAGAGGACTTCCAGAACTGCTTCAGAAAGTGGCAAGACCAATGGAATAAATGTATCAGAAGAAAGAGGAAGTATTTTGAGAGGGATTAATGGCAATGTGTCTTTTACTGTAATACATTTTAAAAATTCAAACATCCATAGTATTTTGTGGTCATATATCATATAGCCAATAAAGTGGTCATTTATCATTTCTTTGTGTCAACATCCATTTTGACTTCATTTGTCAATAGCCGCCCTAATCCCTTTTGTTGGACTTGCTAATAAGATGCTCATCTCTCCTAGTCAAGGGGCAGGCGCATTACTCAATTTGGTCCAGCCTGATGGCTGTGTCTCTGGAACGAATGAATTTACTTATTTACTACCAATAAATCTTTTCATTCATTGTGTTTTCCCAGGGAAACAAGAGAAGAGTCAGTGTGTGTGCTACAAATGATTAGAAAAAAGGAAAGGAAGTACCTGGGTACAGAAAAATCAACTGTCAAATAAACACCCAGTGATGGGGTCACCAAAGACTGAGTAGACTCAGGCCATTCAGGAATAAGGAGAACAGCTCAGGAGAGAACAGATAAGTACATACCTTCCCACCTTCCCCTCCATTCCTCTTCATAAATTCAAGATTTAACATAAAGCTTTGGCTTCTAGCAGTAAATATGCAGTTATATTGGTCTCTCTCCTATTAAACAGTCTTGAAGCCAATCTGATGTAATGTTCTTGAACCTGAATAAAACTTCCTGAGTGACTAGAATATTCATTTGTATATCCTTTCTTGGTCCCCTCACCCCACTTTCTATACAGACGGACCCCATTTGGTTCTCTCTAAAATTACAGATGGGTTAGGTTTTTTGACCCATCCAAACAGCAATATCATATTTGGCATGAATTGCATCAAATAATGGTTTTTTTTCTTTTTTTGAGACAGGGTTGAACTGTGTAGTTCAGAATAGTCTTGAGCTCACTGTGTAGTCCAGGCTGGCCTCAAATTTGTGGCAATCCTCCTGCCTCTGCCTCCCAAAGGCTGGGATTATAGGTGTGCACCACCACACCCAGCTTTAAGTACCAGTTTTGACTCAGGAATTTTGGGCCAAGGGCTCATTTTTCCTTCAGTATTTCTGCATATGTCACTTGAAAGTTTTAAAGACTGTCCAATAATTAAATATATATGTGTGTGCCTGTATCAAGTTGTGTTTTTTTGTTTGTTTGTTTATTTTAGGTGCTTTGTTTTGTTTTGTTTTGTTTTTGAGGCAGAAGAAGGTAGGAGTCAAGTTTTAGGGCAATTTGGTCCCAAATAGGAAATTAGGGAAGGGAATATCTTTTCTATCAAAAGAAAAGATATCTTAGAATCCCCACATCAGGAAGATGCCCGCACACTTATTTTTGAGAACCTTTAATCTGCTGTAGAACCTTCCATCAAAGATACTTTGGTTCTTTTTCTTTCAAAACAAAACAAATTTTGTAAATAAAAAAACTCTAAAAGAACATGGACAGAAAAGATGGACACATTGTATTTACACAAACTAAGCCACCTAGCAATCACTAACTCAGAGACTAAGTAAAGTTACACAAAGCTTGGACAAATACAAAAATTAAAAGGGGGCAGCATGTGAGGGGAACAAGAAACCAGGATCAGACACACACTGCTCAATGCTATTGTTTGTCCAATATCATGCTGTTTTTTCGTTTTGTTTTGTCTTTTGTCACTGTAGCTTTGTCTTTTTTAAATTTTGTTTTTATTATTTTGTTTTTATTATTTTGTTTGAGACAGACTCTCACTATGTACCTCAGGATGGCCTTGAACTCACTATGTGGCCCAGGATAGCCATGAAGTTATCCTCCTGTCTTAGTTTCCTAAGTGCTGGGATTACAGGTATGTACAACCGTGTACAGCTTTGAAGCTTAATAATATAACTTGAAACCTGAGATTGTGATGCCTCCTGCTTTGTTTTTATTTGTCCAGAATGGCCTTTGCTATTCTGTATATATTCTGGTTCCATATGAATTTTAAGATTGTTTTCTCTAGTTCTGTGGAGAATGCTGTTGGTATTTTGATTTGGATTGTATTATATCTTTATATTAGTTTTGGAAGTATGTCCATTTTGACAATATTGTTCTGTCTATCTCAGAACATGGGGTGTCTTTCCATTTTCTGGTATCCTTTTTGAGTTCCTTTTTCAGAGTACTATAGTTTTCATTAGAGTGGTCTTTCATTTCTCTTGTTAGGTTAATTCCTAAGTATTTGTTTTTTTCTTGAAGCTACTGTAAATGCTATTGTTTTCCTAATTTCTTTTCAGTGGGTTCATCACTGGTATACAGGAATGCTATTGATTTTTGTGTGTTAATTTTGTCTCCTGCTACAGTGCTGAATTTGTTTATTAATTCTAGGTATCTTTTGGTGGAATTTTTTTGGATCTTCTATGTAAGGGATCACATTGCCTGCATATAAAGATAGTTTGGTTTCTGCCTTACATATTCCTTTTATTACTTTCTCACCTGGTTGCTCTGGATAAAGTTTTGAGTATGTATTATATTGAATAAAAGTGGTGATAGTGGACATCTTTGTATTATTCCTGATTTTAGAGGAAAAAGCATTTAGGTTTTTCCCATTAATATGATGTTGGGAATAGGTTTGTCATACATGGTATTTATCAGGTTCAGAAAAGGTCCTTCTGTATCTATTTTCCTCAGGGATAGTTTATCATAAATGGTTGTTGGATTTTATAAAAGGCTTTCTCTGTTCTATTGAGATGATGATGTGACTTTTGCTCTTGCTTCTGTTTATGTGATGTGTTACATTTATTGATTTGTATGTGTTGAACCATCCTTGCATTCCTGGATGAAGCATACTTGGCATGATGTGTGATCTTTGTAATGATTTGTTTTTGCATTCTGTTGCCAGTATCTCATTGAAGATTTTTGCATCTCTGTTCATTCATGATTTTGGCCTGTAGTTTTCTTTTTAATGGAGTTACATTGATTGATTGCTAAATGTTAAGCCAACTTTGAATTCTTGAAGTAAATCCTACTTTGTTGTTGTATATTATACTTCTATAATGGATAGGATTTGCTGAAATTTTGCTTAGAATATTTGCATCTATGTTAATGGGGAATATTGATGTATTGATTATTTTCTTCTTCTTTTTTTTGGTACAGGCGATCAAACTTAGTACCTTGCACTTGTGAGGCAGGTGTGATACCACTGAGCTAAATCTCTGGCCCTATTTTTGGTTTTTGATGTCAATGTAATATTAGTTTAAATGAATAAAGTGAAAAATATTTCTTCTTATTCAAGTTTTTGGGCAAGTTTATATAAAATTGGTATAGTTGAGTATCCTTGATCCAAAAATTGGAAATCAAAAATGCTCCCAAATGTGAAATTTCTATAGGAGGAAAATTTCACACCTGACCTCATATAATGGGTTGTAGCCAATAAATGCACTAAATGTATACTAAAATATTGTATAATATTACTTTCAGGCTATGTATGTCATACAACAGAATTTCCTATTTAGACTTGGGTCCCCTCCTCAAGGTGTATGTATTATATATATGCAAATATTCCAAAATATGAAACCTCATATACTTCTCATCCCAACCATTTATGATAAGGAATATTCAACCTGTATTTTCTCTTTAAATGTTTAAAAGAAATTATCATTGAGTCCATCTTGGTCTGATGATTTATTTATGTAACGCTCTTTATGCCTTATCTTTTCTCTTGCATAGTCCTGATAAGAAATCTAATTTAATCCTCATTTTTGTACCTCTATTCATAATATATTTTTTCTGTGTTTTAAACTTTTTTCTTTTTCCAAAATTTGATTATGCTCTGCATCATTGCAGTGTTCTTTGTGTTTTTTTCTTTCTGCAATGTCTCATCTGCTAATTTTAGTTTTATTCCTTCTTCAATGTTTATTTTGTTGTTAATTCCATACAATTAAAAAAATCTCAATAGTATAGTTTTCATATCTGGATGATTCTTTTTTTTCTAAATCTCCAGTGTCTCTTTACCTTTTGAATTTATGGGAGACAGATGTAATAACTGTTTTTATGTCCCTTGAACAATATCCATGTGTTTGATCCAATTTCTTTTCTTTTTTTAAATTAATTTTATTGGTACTTTTAAGGTATACAATATAATGACATTCATCATTGGAAATTTGCACCTTTAGATAATTCATCTTGGTTATTTTTTTTTCTGATTCCCCTGCACTCCCTTCAACCTTTCCCTATCTACAAAGACTATTGTTTACATTTTTTTCATATTAATTCCATTCTCTTCTTTCCTTTCCCCCACCCCATTTCCTTTCCTCTTTGCCACTTTTTTTTTTCCTATTTCATATTATCTATTACACCTTTTAGTCCTTATTTACACATCAGGTTTCTCATACTAGAGAAACTATTCTGTATTTACACATGTATGTCCTATTTTTTCACTTGAGTATTGCCTCAATGTGCATCCATTTAGCTATAAATGTTCCTAGTTTCTCATTATTTATGGCTGAGTAGTACTCCATTTTATTAAGAAAAAACCAACATTTTCTTTATTGAGTCTCCAGATGATGGGCAACTGGGCTATTTCCAAGTTTTAGCTATTACAAATTGTGCTGCTATGAACATGGGTGCACATATATCACTGTGGTATGATTCTTTTAAGTATTTGGCGGAAGATACATGTCTTTCACTGCCTGATACATAGTATTTTAAAATTATTGTTTTATATATTTTACTCCTCAGATTTGTTTTTTCCAGGCAGGAGAGCAAATTCAGTCTGTGTTACTACATCTTGGAGGGATATGGAAGGTGTTAAAGAAAAACTTATTCTGATACTTAATGTTAAGGGTTGGGATGTGAAGAGTTATTGTCAGGTAGTATAGTAGATGAATTAAGAATTTGGTGAGGAGTGACAAACTGTACAAGATTACAGAAACTAGTTCAACTTAGAGATAAATAATAAAATCTCAAATAAAACCTCAGAGACAATAAACAGGACCAGAGTCATAACCCACAAGGGATGCTACAGTTTCTACTGAAACATTAAAATTTTATCTCCCTTTTTTGATCCAAGTTAACCAAAGTAAGAATATTCATGTTTACAAAATATGTTTCATCTCATTGTATTTGGCTTGAGTATTTAGATGAGGCAAGAATGTCCATATAGGCCTTTTTAAGTTGGCTTTACTGGAATTTTAAATTTTATTTTATTTTTGTACCGAGGATTGAATTTGGGTCCTTGTGCTTGTGAGGCAGGAGGCAGAACCACTAAGCTAAATCCCTGGCTGCTGGAACTTTTTATAAGGAATCTCAGATTAGACATTTGAAGTCTCTCAAGGCTAGGAAGCCAAGCCAAGAACTCATTACTAGATTTTACCTGTAATATTTGCAGATTTGGGAGAGTTCCTCTTTTCATGGAGTCTCCCAAATATTCTAATGTTTCTGGACCTGTTGCCAAGTGACTTTCCTGACATCCCAGTAAGTCTGGGAATCTTATAAGTCAGGTATGAGGCTGCGTGTTCCAAGAAGGCTTCATAAGCACGTTAGAGAACATAGTCAACCTTAGTTCCTTAACACTGTTTATATCTAATTTTATGCACCATTCTCAAATACACCATTCCAGCCAAAGCTCTGATTATATAACCAATTTGTCCAATTATATCCTGTTTAAAGGAGGAGAAATTCTTGTTGAACACATATAAATATATTGGCATAGAAAGAATATTCAACAATAGTTTTTTAATCTGGAAGTATCAGGCAGGTAGAAAAATATCAATGTTTCATTTTTGTCTGTGGATGTAATCCATTAAAAATATGTATTACAGATTTCTTTTAAGGTAAAAGAAAAAAAAAGATTCCTTCTATCTATAACATGTTACTCTAAAGAACTAACAATGTTCCAAATAAAAACTGTAAATATCACAGTCCTTTAATTCCTTCAGTTCTATGTGATCAGTTGTTCTGCTTGATCTTGAGTTAGCAGTTCTTGAAGCGGTCCTGTCAGCTTCTAATCTTGAGTTCTGAAAAATCCTTTTTCAATCCAGCACATGATACTAAAATTATTTAAGCAATGTCAGCAGAAGCTTTTACTTTGGATTGTCTGTCATGGCTCTTTCCCTGGGTTCCTGAGATGGTCCCTTTTTGTTAAACATGAATAAATCTGATCTATGACTGATGGCAAGGGCTTTCAGAAAAAAAGAAGAATAAAACTAGAATTATCTGTGGATGACAAGAGACTTGAAATAGCCCTAGATCTGTAACAGTTAATTTGACGAGAACATTTTTCCTATGATATACAACATTTATAAATAACTAGCGGAATTATAATTGATGGAATAATGCTGTAATATATCAAGAACAGCAGAGGGTTGACAAACTTCCAAGAAGTTCATACAATCTCTGAAATACTTATTAACATTTATTCATATGAAGATGGGGATCTATGTAGTTCAGTGGTGCAGTGCTTGTCTAGCATGTGTCAGGCCCTGGGCTTGATGTCCAGCACTGTCCAATTATTTGTTTTTACTGTATTTTAATGTACATCTGTTCTTAGACTGGCTTTGTAACTTTTATAATCTAGTAGTCCTAGAAATTTTTCTAATCTAGAATATCTAGTAGATATAATATTATCATTATAGTAACTTTGCATTATTCTTTACATTTTTTCTTTATATCTGAATTGTATATCTAGCAAATGGAACAAATTAAGAATTACCTGCTCATTAGTGGACCTGGCTTTTCATCAATGTCTGTGGTAAGATTTTCTGTGGCACTGATACGTAGTTGCTTGGTGGGAGGGTGTGGGGGGTGTCCTGAATTCTGGGAATGGAAAAGCCTGGTGGAGGGGCCAAAGGGTGGAATGGTGGGAAGAAGGAATTTAGGCTGCGAAGGAAAGACCAAAGGTGATAACAAAGGAGTAGCAGAGGCGATGGGAGGGTGAGGCTTAGAGGAGCTGGTTAGCCACTGAAGTTCAAAACTGTCCTTGGTCGAATTATGCAAATGAGAAGGAAGCAGATGAAGCATCAACCTGGAGGACCCCAAATCAGTAGAGATTTGAGAAGGGTGGTTCCGAGCTGACGGAATGTTCCCATGAGAGCAACAGGATCACACAGAAAGCACAGAGATCTCACATAAAAACAGGATCAAGTTCCAAACCAGAAGCCACAGAAGAAATCCTCACTTGAAACCAGGACCCAGAAAGGGCACCCAATCCAGGGGTACTTTTTAAACAAAGAACACTGAGACTCTGACTCAGAAAGCATGCACAGAATCTGAGATTGTTTTGCTGTTGGTTTTGTTTTTTGAGACAATGTCTCACCATGTAGTTCAGGTTGGCCTTGAACTCACCACGTAGCTCAGGCTTGTCTTGAACTCTTGGCAATCCTCCTCTTTTCAGCATCTTGAGTGTTGGGATTACAGGTATGCACCATGGCACCCTGTCTAGAATTTTAAGACTCAAAGCCTATCGTTTCTGTGTGCTTCAAGTTTCTGTTATTGGAGGAGCACTGGCTCAGGTGTTGGGTTCCCCCATGGCTCCCCCATCCATCAGTCAAAAGCAAAGACAAAGTCTTCAAAGGTGTCCACTAAGGGTCCTCTTTCAGAGGTGTATTGGCCGGAATTTGGAGACAATGACTGATCCTGTCCCTTTCACGGCACTATATTGTTAGAGAAATTATTCTGACAGTTGTTAAAATGGCAAGGAAGATTTTTTTCAAGATTATTTTGATGTGTCAAATTATTGAAGTAAGAGAGTGAGATCAGGTACAACTTTAAATGCTGAAGCAAGGACACTGGAGATTTATGGCCAAGGACCCAGTGAGGAGATGGGGGTGTCTGTGGTGGAGCATTGTTAAGAATAGTAATTAATAGAAAATAATCAAGTGCAAGAGCATTCTTTTTTTTTTTTTTTTTTGGTACAGGGGATCAAACTTGGGTCCTTGCACTTGCAAGGCAGGCGGCGGAACCACTGAGCTAAATCCCCAGCTCGCAAGAGCATTCTTGTCAACCTGACTTGGATTCTTGTTGAAGACAGACCAGAGTGATCAATGTCAGAAGTGGGAAGATTCTCCATAAATTGCTTAACAGTTGTTCCAGCTACACTAGGTAAGCTGAATTCCATGGATGAGGACTAGGTGAAAGAAAATCACCTATGTCTAAAAGTTTGGCCAGTGAAGGGGTATGTCAAAGCCCCTCTCCCGCTATGGTATTTTGGCTGATATTAGTAGGGATAACACTGTGGGTCTCTCATAGCAAAATCAAAAACCATTAGCACATTCAAGAGTTCTGGAGAGAAAATGCTGGAGTCTGAACTTGCTTGAGGTTGAAAAAAAAAAAAAAAGAGAAGCATCTTTTAATCCTATGTGTTGGATGTGCCCTCCAAAAGTTCATGTGTTAGAAACTGAATCTTCAAAATCACATTAATGGTATTTGGATGAGGGGGGCAGGAAGGCTTGAGCATGTAATTAACATTAGATGGGTCATGACAATGGGTTCCCTTGATGGGTGGCATTAATGGCATTTTAGGAAGCAGAAGAGAGACCTAAGCTAGCTAGCAAGACCTCTGTCTGGCTATGTGACACTCTCTGTTATGTGAGAGAGTGTCACCATACTCTTGGACCTTCCAGAACCAAGAGCTTTTAAATATCCATTCTTTATATGTTACACAGGCTGTACTGTTCAGTTATAGCAACAGAAAAAAGACTAAAATACTTAACTAATTTTCATTTATGATCCAGTAAGAGAAGTAAGCTCTCATTCTGGTTATCATCATCTGACCCATAGATTTGATCCAAAGCACAGGCAAGCAAAGGGAGACTTAACTGTCTGACACTGGACAGATTCTGCCAAGACTCTAGACTATGGGAACAGGACATAGGGAAGGTTTGCTTAAAACTAGAGCTCAGGTATAGAATCAGATTCCCCAGCCTGGGCTCTGGCTAAAAATGTTAAAAGGTCATAAAAAGTCATACTACCTGTAATTAGCGTTGAAAATTTTTCTGTGGTGTAAGAGATGTGATATCTATTTCTGGGATTTTAACTGACATCCAGGTGTAATTCATTAATTTTGAAAAACAAGATACTACTTAGGACTGAGTGCATAATCCAGGGGTTTGTGGAAATTGGAAAGACTCTTAGGAATTCTGGCTCTAGAAGAAGCTATGTACACTCCCCCTGTCTTGATCACCAACACATATCAAGAGCTTTGCTATTTAGCATAATGAATTTGAGAAATAATTTTCATTGGTGAAATAAGAAGTGCTCAAAATACATAGGTTCATTGGCAGGATTGCCTTAGTATAAACAAGATATTGTTATCTAGGAGGCCTAAGGAAGAATGTAGCTCCTGCCCAAAGAAGTCTGTGCTTTAGAATTTGAAACAGGACCTGTATCAACAAATTACAGTGGGGTCATTGCACACATCTCTGAAGGTAGTTCAGTTAAAACTTGGTGTTTGAATACTGTCACATCTGTTTAAATGACTCTGTTATGCAAGACATTTGTCATAGTGCCAAAATGACAGAGAACCAGTCTTTCCTAGAATTTACAGAACTGGCTGAACAGTTTTTTTTGAGCCTATTGGCTTCTAAGTGTTTATTTGATGACCAGATTTAGTCTGAGAACTGCTTTCCTCATAACACACCACCTGGTAATGAAACTGAGGAAAAGAGATCTATAGCCAACACCCACCTCTGTTACAGACCACAAAAGCCAGATGGGAAGTGTTTGAGTCTCTCCTCATTTAGAGAGGTTTTCAGAAATCACAGGGCTTGAATAAAGCATGAATCCACTGGTAGAGAACCTTATTGTAGCAGAAGTATTTTTTACTACATTTATATGAACCCTTGTATTTATTCATGTTGGTACCGCACAAGGATACCTCAGTTCTTTTATTAAGAGGACTTAGAACACTTAACTATATGGTACTGAGGTAGGGGCCAATGAAAAGAATGCACTTTAGGAGCCTTTCCTCCCATATTATATGGGGCATTTCCCTTTTATTCTTTCCATTAAGTTTATTGGTACGTTTTAGGTATACAATATAGTTATATTCATCATTGGTATCTTGTACCTTTACATGATGTATTTTGGTTCTTATTTTTCCCCATATCCCTGCTCTCCCTTCACCTCCTTCATCCTCCCCTATTTACAAAGACTTAGTTTCCATTTTTTCCTTTGCTCATATTTTTTTCTTTTCCCTATTTCCTTTCCCCTTCCCTTCCCACTTCCCCTACACCTTTAGACCTTTTCTTCCTATTTCACATTATGAACTATACATTTTGATTCTTGTTAAACTTTTAGTTATTCACACCAGAGAATCTATTTGGTATTTACACATGTGTCCTATTTATTTCACTTAAGAGTATTGTCTTAATGTGCATCCATTTAGCTACAAATGTCTCTAGTTTTCTCATTCTTTATGGCTGAGTAGTACTCCATTTTATTAAAAATCACATCTTTATCCATTCTCCATTTGACGGGCAATTGGGCTGTTTGTAAGTTTTAGCTATTACAAACTGTGCCACTATAAACATGGGTGAGCATATAACACTGTGGTATGATTCTTTTAATTCTTTTGGGAAGATACCCAGCAGAGGGATAGCTGAGTCAAATGGGACCTCTAGTCCTAGTTCTTGAGGTTTCTCCATATTGACTTCTACAGAGCTTGCACCAGTCTGTACTCCCACCATCAATGGAGAATGGTTCCTTTCTCCCCACAGCCCTGCTGTCATTTGTTATTGGTTGATTTCTTGATAGCAGCCATTCGTTCTGAGGTGAGGCGGAATCTCAGTGTTGTTTCTTCATCTCTCAAATGACCAGTGATTTTGGACATTTTTTCATATATTTATTTGCTGCTTTTACTTTTTTGTCTGAGAAATGTCTTCATTTCAGATGCCCATTTTTGGATTGGGTCTTTATATTTGGGAGGTCTGATTTTTTTTTTTAAAGTTCTTTATATATTCTGGATAGTAGACCTTTGTCTGAGGAGCAGCTGGTAAAATTTTTTTCCCACATTGTAGGTTGTCTCTTAGTTCTGTTGATGTCTTCTTTTGCACAGCAGAAACTTTTTAATAAGATGCAATCCCAGTTGTTCATTATTTGTGCCAGTTCCCATGCTACTAAGGATTTGTTCATAAAGTCTGTTCCTATGCCAGTGTCTTCAAGAGTTCTGCCTAACTTACCTTCCAGCAAGTTTATTGTTTCTGTTTTAATATTTATATCTGCAATCCACTTGGATTTTAGTTTAGTGCATGGTGAAAGATAAGGGTCTACTTTTAATCTTTGGCAGGTTGAAATCAGGTTTTTCCAACACCATTTATAAAGAGGATATCTTTTCTCCAATGAGGATGGATGGCTTTTAGGAGCCATCTTTAAAGTGTGAATGTTTGTGTTCATAATTTAATATATATGGCTAAGTAAGCTCTCACTTTGGAATGTTATAATATTATAATGCAGCCAGGCATGGTGGCACAGGCCTGGAATCCCAGCACTCAGGAGGATAATGCAGAAGGATTATAGGAAGCATGGATGTGAGGGCGATCTGGCTGCAACATCGGTCACCCCATTGATTGCCAGGTTGACTTGGCTGATCAGGCTGGCTAGGCAGGTGTCTCCTTTCTCCCTCACTGCTTCATGTGTGTTCCTCCCAAAGCTGTGCATGGGTCAAAGAGGATGACCACCCCCTCCCCTCCCCCCAGTAAGGAGGACTGTTTTCTCAGTCAAGGGTTTGCACGTAGCTGTGCTTCCCTGCTAGAACCTGCAAACAAGCTCTCAAGGATCCTAGGCTACAAAAGTGAGTTCAAGGCCAGCTTGGACTACGTAGCGAGACCTTATCTCAAAACAATAACAGCAACAACAATAAGCCCAAAATATTGTAGCCAACAAAATTCCCTAAGGCTACAAATTCAGTCTTTGTAATATGTGAGCCCAACATGTTCTTAATTTTAAAAGTACAGAAAACTTCCTCCACTTCAATTTTCTTTTGCACCCAGGCAATTTATGTTTGTTTGTTCTTTTAATATCTTTAAGTGCCACTACACAGTGTGGTGTGCTGCCTCTCCAATCCCAACGCCGTATCTTTGTACTACGCATAGAGTATTGAGCAACTCTATAGATTTGTGCCAGTCAACTTCTATTTGCATGTAAAAAATGCCTATTCCTTGCTGTTTATACTGTTAGACTCTTCTTGGGAACACCAGGAATAAAAGAAATAATACCATTAGAATTCCTCAGACTCATTTAAATTCCAGACTCTAAAAGAATAGTATTTCCTGAGAGAACCACGCCTGCTCCCGACCCAGCAGCCATCGCTCAAGTGCTGGGAAGGTAGCCGTGCTGGCGCTCCTGAACCCCCCATACTCCCCCCACCCGCCCGCACTCTCAGAACTCCTGACTGTGCAAGTCTTTGGACCCACTCTGCCAAGACAGAGGTGGTCATCAAGGATATTTTTCTGAGTTCCCAACTTTGAACATCTTTAAAGAAAGGCGTGGGAAACCTGTAATAGAACAAGTTCAACCATTCAGAAGGATGGGGAACTCAATCTGGGCATTGCATCCTGAGGTCAGTCAGCGTCAGGGGGTTCAGCAATCAGCTAACTGAGATCAGGGGTCTTGCATCCTCTCTCTGTCTGAGCCATTAAATGGTAAATATACTATATTGAAAAGTTTGTTCACGGCCGATATGTTCTGGACTGCTTTTTGATTTCAATTTAATTCAAATGATTTTAAGGGTGATAGACTAGTGACTACCACAGGTGGTCAGTGTCCAAGTTGTGCTTGATCTTAATGTATTGCTGATTGTATCAATTGGGATAAAGCATTGTGGTTGATTTGATGAGCTGTTTTCTCTGATGTTATGAAGATGAGAATGTCTGGGTCGTTAGAGACACAGAAGCTAGGGTGCAACTACATCAGGAAGATTTGGGTGATAATCCAGAGATTAGACCAAGGAAAGTCCTGCAACAAAAATTAAAATGAGAAAACACTTAAGCAAGACACAAGGACAGACTTCCAGTTCACGAATGGCAAACAGTAGGGCAAATGAGGATGAAAAGGCTGATAGTGAACCACCAGGACACCCTGAACTCAAAGCACAGGAAGTAACA